TGTCTGCTTTCTTCCTTGTTATACAATGCCACATTTTGTTTAAGATATTAATCTCTCATGGGTTGTATAACTAAAAATATAATTCATGAAAAAGTATAATGTAATTGCTCAGGCTTTGATGAATTGGGGCATAATGCTAAATAATTATTCATTGCCTTTATTCATCTGTCTAAGTGTGAAAAAAAGCAGCTTTTTATTGCTTTTTTTTTTTTTATATAAGGACATGGGCCTTTGTGACATGCATTTTATTTTAAACTAATGCTTCTATTATTCCACATTTGAATAATTATAGCTGACATCATCTACTCTTCCGTGACCTAGAAGATCTTTAGCTCTAGCACACTGTTACATATTTTATGCATTACGTGAAATAAAACACCTCAAGATTTCAAAAATATTTATTTTAAAAACAGCATTGAAATTGTCTGTAATCACATTTTCTGCTCTGCTTTGAAAGCAGCATTATTCAATATGCCAGTGGTCTTTTCCATAAGAGCAACATATTAGAAATTCATGCTGCTATAATATATCTGAATTCCTTGATGTACTGCACTCCCTATAGACCTAAAGAAACATTTTTGCTTCAGTTTCATATGTCCTGCACATTACCTACTGATGTGGTGGTTGTCAAAACAGTTGTACAGTAGCCTTTGAATTCAAAGTGTGCCTTGACTGTATACTAAAAATGACAATAAACCTAAGTATATACATTATGCTGGCTTTTGTTGCCAGCACAAGTAGAGCATTTGGGAAATCAAACCCCTGATTTTATTGTCTTTTAACATATTTTTCACTTTAAACTTAAAAACCAGAAAACTGAAGCATTTCAAGAAATTTAAACCTTCTATTTATTTCTTGTAAATTTTCTATGGTATTCCACCATGAGCAACATGTTCAAAAAGATCAGCACAAGATTACAAATGAAAGCATTCCAAAAATAGGTTGGGGTTTTTTTCCAACTATGTAAAAACAGCACTGCAGTTTTTAACCCTGGTTTCTTGCAGAAAAAACAACTATCTATAGGATACACTAAAGAAGCTAGAATATCTATAATTTTATTGATACATAGAAAAACCCATTTTATAGAACACATCCAACACATCCACATTCTCACACAACATGCATTTTTTGCAAATGTTAGAAGGGTAATTCTTGTGGTCCTTGAAAATATCCTTTGGGATATTTCAGAAAAACTCACATCAACAGAAAAAGGCTGGCAGGTCAAGCCCCAGCTGGGATCTAACCAAACCCACACAGTCTTCAACTGGTAGGAAACCTATTCCATTATATAGAAGCAAACATGTTAACAAGACCATAAGTACATTTTCATTAAAAAACACTTCTATCTATATCAAATTGCATCCAATTAAAAAGCAGGAATAGAAGTCATATCCATTTTGAAGGAGGGTTTTAAGGGCTCCCATGATGGGGCTGGACTGTGGGTTAATACCACCCTGACTCACATTCTGCACAAATTCTGTAGATTTCTGAAGCCCTGATATCCAGACATAATGAGAGCCTAAAGAAATCTGTATGTGACAGCATGATAGAAATTAATGTGCATGTGCACGTGTATATTCTGTATGTCAGCTAAGAATGCAGAAATACACAAACATAGAAGTAAATATGTGAACTGACAGCAGAATAATGAGAAGGAAAAATTTTAGTGGTTTTTTTGTTTGATTTCTTTTTTTTAAATAGTTGGCACGCAGTATGAAAGTCCAATCAATCAAAAAAACTTCAAAGAAGATTAATTCCAAATTTAAGACACTGTCAATGGCAATGAGAAATTTTCATCTCCCAGCACTGCAAAAATTTTTTTAGAAAGAATTCCCACAGTGTAAGAATCTGTAAGAAGCCAATCCCTAGTATGAATTCACTGAGCTGGTAGTGGGCTCTTATTGTGTGTATTTAAGCACTTCTGCAGAGGAGAATTCTTAGAGAGACTGGGGTAAATCCTGCCATCCTTACTGAAAGGGATTTTATCTGCAGCTTGGAGGGAGTACTGCACAGTATGAAACAGAGACTTCTGATGGGGGGAGATTTGAAGGGGTTTTAGGAAGAGTACATCCTCAATTTTCAATCTGTCCAAAATCACAGAAATCCTCATGTGAAAACACCTGGTAGTTGAGATGGAAGAAAAACACTATACTTAGTGTATGAACTATTTTCTAACTGTTTCTGAGCTCACTGATATCCCTTTCTTACATTTGGCTAGCATTAAGTAATGTTTCGTCTATAAGAACACAAACCGAAAAACTCACTAGTTCTAACACAGATAAAATAGATGGTATTATTGCTAAAATACCAACACAGGTTAAAAACTAGCTAAAAAGAAGGATGTTTAAGTAAAATAAAACAACCAAATTCTATTAGAGGCACATTGCAATGCAGCTGAATTTGTCCCAACGTAAGTAAAATTTGCCGAAGATGTGAAATTAATTAGGGACAGAGAACAGCCAACAGATTTGCTTCTAAGAATATTTTTTCTAAAAATACCCATTAGTGCCCTGAAAAATGAAGTGAGACACATGTTTTCCAAGTACACTAAACAGCACTTGATATACCAGAAATTATATGGAACCAAGGGTTTAGACAGATTGGAGAAACTTATAAATTATGTTCTATATGAGGCAATATAGGAGTGATTTACACAAGAACTTGCTAAATGGATCAGAGTTTGATGAGATAGTAAAAAGGAAACTTGGAGATGAGTAATACCACAAGAAAAGAGTCAAATTGAAAAAAAAAGTTAAATGTTATGGATTATAAAAATTCAAAACTAAGTAAAGAATGTTAACTCTACAAAATCCCCTGTTTTTCTTCATCAGTGCAAAGCCAAAAGAACAATGGGGTCATTCTATTAACTGAAGAAGTCACTGAATTCACTGAAGAGTTAAATTACTTCCCTCAAGTTAATTTCTCTCAAGTTATCAAATTCAAATCAGAGGAGCAATACTGCCAAACAGCATTTGAACTGTATGAAATGGAGGTGTTAACATTGTACCAGTTGTACTGACATGAGCTGTAGCTTCACCCCATGCACAGACAAGCCAGCTCGAGTTCAAACTATTGCTAGGTAAGAGGTGCTCCTGTGCGAAAAGGGCACGTAAGTTAGGGTAACAGCTGACTTAGCACATGACACTCCAAGGATCATGCTTTTACTGAACAAATCCTCAGAAATTATTGTCAAAATTCAGCACATATTTTCTTGACATCTGATTTTTCATCTCTTCCGATCTTCACTAAGTTCCAACGGCAAAATTGCCTCGCTATATTATTCAACTTTTTTATATTTTCCCTCGATGCGATTATTCACTGTGATGATCTACAGACTCTCAAGGCCCTTTGTTCAGAGCTTGTTGCAAAAGGTTAATGTGAAACATCACAGCTTAAAAGAATGCATAGTTCTGAGCCATAACCATGGCTCAAAAGAGGTCAATTCAATGAAATACTGCCTGTCTTGACTAGAGTGTCAAGCATTTCTCTTACTTTTCCAAGTCCTTTCATAGCTCTGATTCTCAGAACCCCACACAAGATTTCACTCAAGCTCTTTAATGCATGCCATCAGCTTTGCAGACAAGCAAGGAAAATATAGGCTCTTTCCATAGAGCATATTTCTATTTCTCTATATAAATCTGCCTCTCCTCCACTCCTCCCATTATTGAACATAACCCTGGGGTCAGATTCTGACCTCAAATACGAAGTGTGCAACATCCCAGTAAATCAATAACAACTGTGCAACATATAAGAAGCCAATACTTGTGCCCCTCTGCTTTTTTGGACACCCTCAGAGGGAAAGCAGAGCTCCTCAAAATCAAGGTAGCTTTATTTTAATTAAGTTGCACTGAAGCAATGTGACAAAGCAGATTTTTGTTGTAAACCAAGTCTTTTCCAGCCACCGTGGCCCCTGGGTCTGAGCCCCAGAGGGGCTGATGGGAGCTGAACCTGGATCCCTGACTACCCAAACATCCACGTGTTGTGTCAGCTCTCAGGTTCCCAGGATTGATTTATGTTTTTTAGATAATGTGGTGGGGAGCTAGCAAGCTGGGAAGCCTAAACAGCCTCAGTTCTTAAGTGCAGAACTTTTGGTGAAAAGTCCAGACCCTTTATCTCTAGGAACAATAGATTCTTATCTTTGGCTGTTGGGATCAGCAGCTCCTGGGCAGCCCATTTAGCCCACCTGGTGTTTGAAGTGCCGTGGGATAAACACAATGTCAGGCTCCATCCTCTTTCGTGGAATTTTTAACTCTTTGGGTTAAAATTGTACATCACTGTGAAATAATCTTGTCTGGAGCTTCTATGCAAGAAGTATACTAATGAATTGTAGAGCCCACTTGAAAATGTAACGTGTACAGTAGCTCTGCAGTTGTTGCAAGCAATTTAACATTCAAATAAGTGATTCATAATATCAGGCTTCACAAGATTATGACCATAATGACTATCTGACAGACTTTATAAGCAAGTTGTCCAGTCATTTCAATTGGATTCTGGCTGGCTAAGGACTGGGAACTGTAAAAAGGCTGTAAGATTTGGCCTAGAATCAGAAATAACATTTGCTATTTTCCAAACGTGCGGTAAACAAGAAAGGAGATATTAAATTTTTGTACATCTCTCAGCACATGCAAATGAGAATGGAAAGAGCCTCATCAGACAAATACAGAACAACAGCCATCTGGATCCAAACCCTGCTCCAGCAGAAGTCAGAGCCTTGAGCCTCTTTTTGTCATTATTTACATCCTGTAAAGGATAACCTTCTACCCAAGGTGGTGGAAGGTAACACTCTGGCTTTGAGGAACTCGGCTGAAAATTCCCCTTCACCTCGGCCAGGCAGAGGATTTGACACAGGGAATGCAATATAACACCCAGAGTCAGGACACTACAAAATTTGAGATTTGAGTGGGGCAGGTGTTGGCCCCCTTGAAGGATTTCAAACAGATCTGTATTTCCATGATTTTGCACTTGAAACAGAACAGAAGGGAAAGATTAAAAGTGCTTACCACAGAGAGGGAATTGGAAAGCAGTGTCCCGTCTTGGCCAAGCATGTTGGAAACTGTAATTTCAGGTAGATCCATGTTTTGAGGGTGGAAGGGAAGGAGGCCATTGTGGTTCATGGGATGACACAGAGAGTGGTACCCAGACTCTATCTCATTCAAGTGCACCAGGGAGTGGTCAGGCAATGATGGAGGAGTTATAGGAGGTATGTTAAAATCTTCACTTTCGAGACTTGGGCCAGGAAAAGACTGGAAAAAAAGAAACAAACCAACAAACAGCAATTGCTATGAATATCACATGAGCACTGATCAATAATAAAATAAAAAAAAAAAAGAGCCAAACTCACATACTTCTAAGCACAACCTACAATTTAATAAAAAATATTTTCAAGACCCATATATTATACAAGTGAAGTCTCACCATTATGTATGGAGGAAAAAATGCCTCTAAGGCATAAGAATCTATGATACTTTTCCCTTAGAAATATTTTTTAAAAGAAGGTGAACTCAAATAGATTTCAAGGGTCCTATTAAAATTTTCTGAGAGTGTTCATCTAGCTGAATACCTTTTTCATGGGAATTGTGGAAAAGGGAATGCAATTTATAAAATTAATATTGGCACAAAATGGTTCATTTTACTTCCTGCTACTCAGACCAAGAATTACATACTGAAGAAAGATACGATTTTTATACATATGGGAGTGTCATGCATTTACTCAGCTAGAAAGAAAAAGAAACAGTACATACTCAGTATGAGTATGCTTTGTATTTATAAAAATGCATTTGAAGTTTTTTAAAATATCATTTGTTTCTCTTTCTTTATCTATAACCTGAATCATACATACATTTTGTCAGTTATCTGAATTAGTAACTCCACCAAACAACTGTTAGTCTTTTGTTGCCTGCTGCCATTAAGTCATCCAATTCAATCTGATCCAAGGAAAAGCCACAGGCAAAGTCCGAGTAATGCACCAAGGTGGATAATTGCTATTATTTATCTACAGGTTTTGTACGGCAGGTAGGCTCATTTGTGGGATAGGGTGGGTATGTGCATATTTCTAAAAAGGAAATGGTGAGCATAATAAAGAGTTAAAGAGATCAGCTGCAATGGCTCAGCCTGAAAGCCTGCTCTGCTTTTCTGAGAACAGCCAACTCCTTTGCAAAGTGATCAGTCTTTGCACATCCCATGCCCACAGTCAGGAGATTTATAGCATAGTGACTACTCCCACCCTTCCTGCCCCTCTTCAGCACAGCAGTCCTGCTCTGAGTGCTGCTTTTGTTAATTCTGGAAATGCAAGGATTCAAAATACATTCTGCTCCTGAAAAGTATCACCAGAAAGGATGAGTATGAGGGCACAATTTCAAAGAGCAGCTATTGGAAGAAAATGTTTTCCCCAATATGAGTTTCCAAATGGAGGATAATACAGTGTATGAATTCACGCAGAAGGACAAGGGGAGAATCAATGGCCAATTATAACAAAGGGATTTTTCATTAGTCATCATAGTAATAATGTCCTCCTGATGCCTGAGGTTACTCTCCTCTGTACAAGCATGTATATATAAACTTCAATCAGACCAAAACCAAACTGTATTAAATGTCTTCAGTGAGCTGGTGAACACAGATAAACCTCCTTTAATGCATATTGCCATGGTTTTGGCTGCTTTGTTTTTTTCCCTAAAAGGTTTTAATCTCTTTACCAAATATCTTAGTATAAAATAGAATGGGAAGTCTAGATTGGAAAGGCCAAAGTAAAATCCCCAAAAATGAAAACAACAGAACAGGGTTTGACAGTGATATCATCACTGTTATGTGTGAGGACTTTGACTCTATCCATGTATTCCAGCTGTGTCTCACCCCCAGCACAGGAGTTTGCTCTCCCTCTGCCTCTGCTTTCTTCTTAATGGCAAGCTGGTGCAAGTCTACTGACCTCTGTAAGTTGCATTTGCCCCCACTTTTATGAGCCATGATGCAGCCATTTCTCCAAGGGGAAATACAGTAAAATAGACCCTCACTAAATGGAGAGAAGGCTTAAACATGATAAAGAGAACACCACATTTACTCAATAGCAATGTATAAATTTTGCAAAACCAAATAAAAGTATTAGGGACAATGCATCCACTAGCTAGTTCCTAATTACTATTATATAAAATCCATGATGAAGGAAAAGGTGTCTAAAGTGAGTTTAAGATCTGATACCACAATAACTAAACAGCAAAGAAGAGAAATGAAGGAAGGGATAACATCCATAATGCTCTCCTGGACCAGTGCTATCCCTGCAGATACACTTAGATCTGGAAATTGTAATCCTGGGGAGCTTGGATCCATGTAGCCTACAGCTTCCAGGAGGGATTCATTAACTGTGAAAAGATGACATTTATGTTCAACAGTGTCTTTTCTAATGTCCCAAAAGACTTAAGGCCTCAAAAGAGTTTTCTCTCCCCTGATTTTGCAGGTAGAAAGTATTAACATCTATTTCCTCTCTCTTGCACTGTCCTGTGAGAGTTAAGTTTGCTACTAAAAGCAAATATTCCTAAATCAAATATTGACAGGATATTGGAGGCACTTAGCATATCTACTTATTTTTACACCTCTTTTTGCATGTCACATATGGACGGACCAGGCTTTACTTTTGATTCTTTGCGTTCCAAATGTGTCTTTAACTAGTAATACCTCAAAAATGGGGGAATCAATTAACTGCCAGTAGGACACTAATTTTGCTTATCAAGAAGGAAGTATAAAGCATTAGCAGCTCCACAATCCAAGGTGTGTCATGTATAGGTATATAATAATGTTATATATATTATATGGGTTAAGAATTTTAAATAAATGCTTGTTCTCTGATTAATTACCAAAAAAAATATCACATAATGGTTGCTGCCTGTGAACCATTTAAGAGTGTATTTGATCCCACATCACCTACAATATCACTATTCACTACACTTAAAAGTAGGATTAGAATAGCAAAAGCTGTAATGACACACCAAATAACATATAATTCAAATTACAGTATCTCCTATGTTTCTCTATTTTAAATTTTTTTCTTAAGACAAGCTATAGTACTATTTCAGTAAAGCTAGGCAGAATCGAAGTTATATGCTAATGCCACGGACAGAAATTCAAAAGCATTTGCAGAGCACCCTATTCACCTTACATTTTCAGCCAATTTGATATTTCCATGCTCAGTATTGTGTGCATGTAATGCATATAGACATAACTTCCTCAGGGAAGTTACTTCAACAGTGATTTGCTGGTATTCATTTGTCTCGTCCAGGAGCTTGGTTTAGATGCTTGTAATGACTTAGCATACTGACATATGAACCCCAAAATTCCTAGATATATCTGCAGCAAACCCAACATATCCCAGGAACAAGGCTGTTGCAACTATGCCTGGAGGAAAGGCACGAGGAATGGGACATGTGCTTGTCCTGTGAATAGCAGCTACAAGCTTCAAACACCCACTCCTACTTTCCTGCCACCTCTCTCCTTGCCTTTGGAAAACCTATTTTAGTAACCATCTGGGGTCCCCTTGATGCAACTGATCCACTGCTGGCAATGGGCTCTCCTGGAATGTTGTATTGTCACCTTCTTCTGTAAAGAGAAACTTTAGGGAAATTTACCAAAAAGGCAGTCTCAAGCTTAACCCTGCAGCAACAACTCCCACTCCCAGACCAGCTATCATCCTGCCCCAGCCTCTGGGCTTCCTTAGAGCACCATTTCTTCCAACACAAGCTGTTTATCTGAAATTTCTAATTAAAGCAGTTATCTAGCATCCAGAGCATCAGGGAAGGCTGTACTCCCTGTACCAAACCACAAGTCATAAGTATAGCTCATATGTATTCATAATAAAGTGTGGCCCGTAGTTTCACTTCTGCTAGGTTTTTCTTGGGGATGGGGAAGGTTATGGTCTTTCCCTTCCACTCCAAGGCTTTTTCCTTCATGGCTGGTTTTCCTATCAGCAGGACTTGCTCTATTCAGAGACATGGAATAGGTCCTTTTTATTCTACCAGTCACAGAAACCTCAGCAAGCTCACCTTTTCACTTTTGAATAACAGAAAAAAACCAAACCCAAAACTCCCAAACAAACAAGCAAACAAAAGTAGCAAAAATTCTTTATTTTCTTTACCACTTTTCCACTAGGAACTTTGCCAGTGGTTTCACTTTCATGACTATAGTACAGAAAGAGGTGTTAATCAGCTCTTCAGTTTAGGGGAGTTTCCTAGGCCTTTATTGCATTCCAGAGAGAAAACCCTCTGCAAATTAACACCATTAAACCAATTGCACAGCACTTAGCAGATACAGGCTTAAATTTTTCTTTATTTTAAAGAGCATTTTATTATAAACAGATTTCAGTCGAGTTCAGATGGAATCTACACAGTGGGAACCTCAGAACTGATTATCCTTACATTTGAGCTACCTTCTAACAATGTTAAGGACGATTTTTGAATTAAGAATGTCTTCCCAAATTTAGAGGACTATATTTTATGTTTCTGGCTAAATATTTGTGACATTTCTGCTTGAAATTATGTAAACTCCATAAAACAGATGATTGATATGCCCACTCTGAGACGAGGAGCTTTATCTATATGCTACCTTGGCATATCATTTTATGAGAAAAGCTTGCCAAAATAAAAATGATATGAACACTGAAACCTGAATCACTGTCCAACACAAACCCAAGCTTTTGTTTCTGAAAAAGACCCCATTGGTCCTGTTAAATTTACTTTTTAAGCCAATTAGCCTGATCAAATCCAGCAACAAGCTATGGAAGGAGGGGAAAAACTGGGACACTGAGAGGAAGTGTATGTCAGGAATCAGTTCTTTACTTTGGCAACACATAACTCAAATTATGGCTATGCATCCAGCTGTGCTGATAACACAGATACAAAAAAAAAAAAATCTAGTATTTACTTTTGACGTTACTCATTAGGAAAAAAAGGGAAATGCTGGCAGGAGATACAAATACAGCCCCTTTCCTTAAGTACTCTACAGTGAAAACTGCATATTGGCCAGCAAAACTGACTTATGTTTCAAAATAATTTCAATAGAACTTTAAGAAGTGATCAAAGAAGGCAAATCAAAGGAGGAGGCTCAAACAGACTGACCACAGGAAGCAGCAAGCTTTCAAACATCCAGTGTAAATCCCTCTGGAAAGAGCAGTAATGTTCATATATGACAGCCCAGAAGACAACATTCCCTAAGCAAGTCTGCTCAGTGGTTGCATCAGTCATCATGCATTTACTCAACAGAA